CTGACCAGATTAACGATTCGACCAAGCTGCTCTGTGCAAGCCTTTTCACATTCTCTGACAGCATTGCCTCCTGCTAGAATGCTCTCGGTAACCATTGTTGTCCAATAGATGGCACTAACCACAAGAACTATCTGTCCGGGCCACTCAAGAACCCATTTTTCCCTTACCGTTTCCGCGTATGAGATAACTGAGCTTGAGCATTGTTCCTGAAGGGACTGTAGCATTCCTTCCTCGACCTGAGTTCCCCAAAAAGGAGGGGTAAGGAATTTGAAAAATAAGAAACACGGAATCGCCTTACCTGTAACAACCATTTCTCTACGGCCCCTTGCGCAGCCTTAGGATTGAACTTTTCGACAAGAGGAACTACTTCACCCTCTGCAGAAATCATTCCCGTGACATCCATATTGTGCTCAAATCGAAGTGTGTCAATCCCTTCGAAACACTTTTTAAGATGTGGTTGCACTCGAAGTGGATCCTTAGTCTCGGAGAGAATCTCAAGCATTTCGTCGTTTGAAAGAAAGAAGAAGCGGGGGAATGCCACCCGTTTGACCTGTAGACTTTACGTTAAAGCCCTCATGCACGTCAACAAAGAGAGAGAGAGAGACAGAACCTCGAGATATGACGCCAGTCCCTTATTGATAATCTCGAGCAGCCTGTTTGCTTCTTTCAGTTTCTCCAATCGTTCCACATCAACTGCAGTTTCAATGCAGCCTGGAGCGGCAACCGTTCTCTTCATAACATCTCGCCAGGTTGCATCTACCGTCTGAAATTTTTCTCCTTCTTCGGGCATCTGCCTCATGATATCCTTGGACCCAAAGATAGGCCCAAGATACTGCCAAGTTGCTTGACACTCTACCCAGTTATCAAGAAGGTCCTGTTATGAACACAGTAAGATCTCATCAAATAAAAGAGTAGGAGGATTACCTGCATGTTAATCATAAGCGTCTTCCACCTTACAGCCCTGCCTTCAAAAATCTTAATGAACGGAGAAGCACACATGGACATAATCTTCACGAGTTGATCATCCAGAATAGTTTGTATGTCATCAAGTCCTCCAAGGATAAAGGTTCCAGAGTCCTTGTACGGAAGAACAATAAACTCGACACCTTCCCAATCTTTTTCCATCTTGTCCAATGTTCTCTGGAACGAAAACTCTTTGCTTGCAACCCCTCCAATGACACGAACCTACAGGACCAAGGTTTAAACGCTGTTGTCACACACAACCTTTTACCTCTTCGATTTTATCCATGATTTTGTAGTCAAGCATGTCGTTTATCGAGAAAACAAGTCCGTCCTTGTACTCCTGCCCAACTTGTTTGAAGATTTGAGTCCAATGGCGATCTTTCAAAGCGGGATTTGCCAGCTCCTCTATCAAGGGTAGCAACTACAGCAGGAAGACATACACATGTTAGACGAGCACCGTAAAAGTTTGTGAAGAGTCACCTGCTTAAAATCGTCAATCGCATCCTTCAGCCTGAAAACCACCGTATCCTCTTTGTTTGCTTTTCCCATCTTGTATGCCTCTTTCGCGTATTCATCTGTTTTTCCCTGGACTTCTGGTGCTTTTAAGCTTGCCACCGGACCCTCCCGCCATTGCTTAACCATCACTAGCCAGTCGCGGAGGGCCTTCCACACTCCATATCTCAAGTTGTATTCTTTCTCCGTCATGAGGAAGTTGCTCATGTCTTCCATGTCCATCTGAAACATTTATAACAGTAGATTAGCGGCCGTTGCCACCAATAACACCTCACCTGGAAGAGCTTCTGATAATCTTTATAAATCTCCAGTGTATCACGTATTTCCACCATTCTGTCCCATATTTGTTCCATCTCCGTCACAATCTCAAATGGATCGGACTCCGATCTCAAAAACCTCTCCTGGTGAAGCATGCCTAAAATCGCAACCAGCTCCTCGTTGAGTGAATTTGCCTTCGAATCAAGGTCGGCCATCATGTCCGTCCTATTTTCTTCAATATAGATGGTGGCTGCCTCGATCGAGTCACCATACTTCTGGACTATCTCGTGTAGATCGTCTAGCTTGATCTGGTCATCTGTTGGGACTTTGACTTCATAACCCGCCAAAAGAGAGTACATTTCGTCAACAATGGTTGCTTCAGCAAGCGATGCTTTTTTCTTTTCCATTGTTGCATCGAACACCTGTAAAGACAAGCATGTCAGATCGATTCTTTTTCACTTCCTAATCAGCTGACATACATACCCTGATAAAAGCCACAAAACCATCCAGCTCGTCGGGCCGAACTTCAAGGGCTTTCACTTTCTCCTGAAAATGAGCTAAGACTTTAATAGTCTCTTCCCTTGCTGCAATAAGCAGGAGACCCTTGATGGCGTCCAGCGTTCGTGAGGTCACGGGTAAAAGCGAGTTTCTCAGAGACTTAGAGTCTATATGAAGTACTCCAATCACACTACATTCAAGGATTATGCGTCAGTATCTAAGGATCCAGCATTCTCAACGTCCCAACTCACCATCCGATACGCATTCGCTCCAGCTCAATTCTCCACTCCCTCTGTTGAGCCAATTCGTCTCTAAATTGACGAACTGTCCGTTTCTCCGATGCATAAGCCTCTGGATCCCAGCATTGCCCAAACAGATGCAGATCTCGATACTCCTCGAACATCTGAAGACAAGACGAAGACGGCTCAGTTGGAGCAAACAGAAAATGCCGCAATCAACTTACTTGTGCGTACCTTCTAGCCTCTTGGAAGTCGTTTTTAACGACCTGGTCTATTCTACTCCGCAGCGAACAGAACCGTTTAGTCTCTCTGATAAGGCCGACAGGATTCAGTCCCTGGTACTTGACTTCAAAAAAGGACGAAAAGACTCTCATGTACAATATCCGAGGTGCTTGTTGAACGATCTGAATTACGCCCTCAATGACAGTGTTGAGGACCTGCACCAATAACGGAAACATGTCAGGCATTGAATGACGAGATGGAAACCACTTACGCTTAAAATGTTTGCCTCGTCGGGGTTGAAGGTCATCATGGACTCCGCGAACGACACAGTGCTCAGGAACACTCCCTTGGATGCCTTCTCCGTGTTGGTTGCTCTCGTTGCTTCTAAAAGAGCCAGCAATTCGTCAGTTGTGTTGATAGTACGAGCAATGAGGCCTTCAACTAGCATGTAATCAATGAGACGGATAAAGTTGCCAAGAAGTTTCTCTTCAGCTATAACACGACGATATGTCTTAGCCCTCTCAATCTTTTCGTGTTTGATGCTCACCATGCTCTGAGCTTTATTGGCACGGGATTGATGCAAATTAACCCCCACTACATCATCTAGCTCGGCCTCGTCCCGAACACTTTCCTGCGTTAAAGATAACAAACAAAAGAGTAGAGTGATACAAGATCGACCTTTCAAGCTGGCTTACCCGAAATATTTGTGCCTGCTTCTTAACCTCTTGGCAAAGCTTGCCAAGTACTTGCTGAATCCTTTCTGAGATGTTCTCCACAGACGGCATCGACTTGTGGATCCTCTGTTGAAACTGGAGATCGAGAAACTCTTCTACGGTATGCAGGTGGTTTGGAATAAGGTGCAGCATAGCCAACCCAGTGAGCTCGTAAACGTATCCGTAAATCTGCACCATAGCCGCCAGGAAGCCAGGCTTGGCCACAAATATCCTGGACATGAGGGAGTTTCTTATCCGCGCGAAGTTGCTCTGGCCGATGTGCTTGCGCCAGATCGTGAAAGACTTGTAGATCAGATACTTTCCGAAGAACTTAATCCTGCAGAGTGACGAGAAAATAGACTTCTCGCGAAGCCATTCCTCGTGAGCAATAAACGTGCACTCTTTTTGACCACCTGCATCCATCGCGGACACATACACACACACAAACAAACGTAAGCATGGTCATTTTCCTCAAACCATGTCATTTCTTCTCACCTTGTGTTTGTGGAATCATCAAACCTGGCGTGATCTCGATGTGGATCATCCCGTACGTGGAGATGGTAAAATACTCGGCCTTGGCAACCTTGTTCCGCGGAACAACATCCAGGTCGTATGGCCGGAAAACCTTGCCAGACTCGACACGGTTGCAGTAGAGGAACTTAGCCGGCTTGGACTCCTCCCGCTCCGCAAAGAACTTGATAGCCTCGTCCCCGTTGGTGATGTGCGCAAGCTCTGGATCGCCCGCCGTGGAGGCATCATCGGAGAGGCCGGCCTGGACGAGGATCTTCTGCGCTTCAACCTCAGTGTGCGGCAACTTTCTCGAGCCGGAGCTCTGTCCCGTCAAGACACGCTTGGTCCCAACTTTCCCCTTGACGAGCACCTCGTTCCACGCCCCCCGGTCCGGGAGCTCCCCCTGAACGGAAGCACCATCCTGGACGATACATTTCTGCGGGACGATCTCTTTGACACCCTTGGGAGCGAAGCCGTGCTCTTGGAACATGATGGCACCCCCGGCATTGTCTTCCCTGGCTCGGGGCCGCTTGATGGGCAGCCGATACACAGCCTCGAGCTCGTCAACCTGTGGCAATTGATACAATCCCCCGGGCTCCTGCTTGACAACCGAGTCCTCTGGACGCCACACCCCATACCTCCCCAGCCAGGTGCTCCGCTCGCCCCCTTGCTCCTCCTCCTCCTCGCTCACCACAAGCTTGTCCTTGCCTTTGTGGAGCCTCCGGCTGGAGGGCTCCGGCGGAGGTGTGGCGTCGGGCGTCCGCGGCGACAGCATCTGAGCCGCCTTGGATTTGGACGACTGCCATCCGCCCGCCGCGCGATTCGCCTTCTGCACAGCCTCCATGAGATCCTCCATGTGCTCCGCCGTCGCCGACGAGATGCGGTGCTTCCGCGCATTCTTAGCTGCGTCGCCGCCGCCCGACGCCATGGGCGCTCGCTCCTTCCCCTCTGGAACCTGGCGCCCCTCCCCTAACCCTCAACCACCTTTAGTTTCCTCTAGGGGAAATAAAATGCATGGTTTTAAGCCAACAACGATGGCAGCTTAGGAGATGAAAATTATAAAAACATTCCACTACCTAGGCAGTTTGTTGTCTTGCTGCGAGCAATACAATATTCGTTTGATATAACAGATGATTATTCTATTCGCAATACAATAGCTGCCAGATGATGGTTAGCATCTCGTTGGTTGGTTGCTCTCATACCTGGATAGGCGATAAGACCTGTATTATGTAACCCAGCTCTTCCTTCTTTTTCTTTGCTTTTCCTGATAAAGCTGGGCGCACTCTAGTACAGTGTAGCAGCCTGTCCCCAACCGGACATGTAGACACGGGATCTGCAGCCGTGCTTGAAGCAATTCTGTGCTTGCATCTCTCCACTCCACCTCTCCCTGGTAGAATCTAAGGAGGAAGTGGGATATGCCGCGCACGGAGATGAAGGCGAGGGACGGCCAAGAAGCACGCAGGTCATGGTGGAGTATGCTGGCCAGAGCAACGAGCAGCGGGAGAAAGGCAAGGGAGAAGAAGAGCGGGGCGGAGCCCAGATTGGCTGCTGCTCATTCGGACGCGTCCATCAAGGAGCGCGTCCTGGCCAAGCTCGCGGAGCCTCTCCCCGGTGAGCTGAAGCAGGCAGCCCGGCATTCCGTGGACGCTCCAGGGGTCGCCAGCTACAGAGAGGATCTCTTGTTGAGCAGCACCTCATCCAGACACTCCACCTCCTCCTCCACATCCTACTGGACTAGCAGTCTCGACGCTGCGGACGATCACGCAGCTCCACTCCAGGCAAGTGGTCATTTCCACAGGGCGCGATCCGGATCCACGAGCGCCATCCATAGCTCATGCAGCTCGCCCACGTCCAATGTCATTGCCCGGCTCATGGGTCTCGGGACTCCCTACTCAACAGCATCTCCTTATCCACTGATGAAGATGAAAGATTCCAGGAATCCGATGGAGCCTACTTATCCTCAAGGTTTTCTGGATGAGATGGAGAACCACCTGAGACAGTGTGACCAGGCTCTAGAACGCATCGAGGCCGTGATGCAGCTCAAGAAGAAGCTCCTCTACCTCAGCAACAGTACCTCGGCCGCCATCGCTGCGACTAGCAACAGGCACGATGTCTATGGCGCTTGCACGAGGCGAGACGATCCAAGCGACAGGACCAGATCGACATGCCGGCACGCTCGATCCAGGTCCGTGGATCACACCATGGCGAACTCGAGGGGATACGATCATATTCATCATCACCATCACCGGGACAGGGCCGTGATGGAGAGTACAACGCCTCGATTCCAACACCACCACCACCGGCGAAGTGTTTCGGACGGAGGAACTCCAGTTTACCGTCCTCCCTACGACATGGAACTGGACATGACGAGCATGGAGCGTGATCCAGTGACAAAGTCTGCGAGAGCCAGATTGTGCGACCCATCGTCGCCACCGCGCAGCAAGACCATGAAGAATGCCAACCTCATCACGAGGGCGAAAGAGGAGATTGACGATATCATCCGCGAAAGCTGTTTCCAAACACCTCACATAAGAGATTCGCAGCAGGGGAAGATCGTGTCACTCAATGGCGTTGCCGAGAGCGAGCAGCCGAGCCCAGTGTCGGTCCTGGACAACTCGCACATCGACTCGAGCGAAGACGATCCAGGTAACGCGAAGGATCTTACACAGTTCATAGCTGACAACAGTACGTTCCTGTCAGATTGTCAAAGAGAGCGAGAGAGCAATCGCAAGAGAGGCGCAGTGGTAAGAGCTCTGTGGGCGGACGAACCAGCAGCGGCAGCATCCCGAAGGCCCGTGCCCCACCAATGCGGGGACGAGGAAGACAATGGGAGCGCGATCGTCACGGCGATGGATCGGCGGTGGTCAGTGGGAATTGGCGCGGAGACGAAGGAGGTGGCGGCAAGAGTGGAGTGCATCATCTTGAGGAGACTAGTGGAGGAGACGATCGTGGCTGTTGCCCTAGCCTGCGCACGCCATCGCGGCCGCACACGTGGCGATCCGTGATAGCAATTTCAAAATCCACACTGTAGGCCTTGCTTTGTGACCTAAAAAAGAGAGAGAGAGAGAGAGAGAGAGAGAGAGAGCTCTCGTGCTCCATAGCCAGGGCCCAGGGGGGGGCACACACTCACGTTGCTCTTTGTTGGGCTGTGTGGTGCTGGGGAGAAGCAGGCAGCGATGGTGGTGCAAGGAGGGGGCAAGGGCGCAAAGGGGCTGCTGGGCAACAGACCCTCGGCGGTGTCCACAGCTGCGGACAAGGACAAGAAGAAGCCCTTGTCCAAATCGTCTCGAGCTGGGCTACAGGTTCGTCTTTGTGCCCCAAACAGAGGTTGCTGGCTACTGAGATGAGTGGCGGGTGTTTGTGTGCAGTTCCCAGTGGGTCGGATCCACCGCTTGCTCAAGTCCCGCGTCACTGCCAACGGAAGGGTGGGAGGCACCGCGGCCGTCTACTCGGCGGCGATCCTCGAGTATCTCACCGCCGAGGTGCTGGAGCTGGCGGGGAATGCGAGCAAAGATCTCAAGGTGAAGCGCATCACTCCGCGGCACTTGCAGCTGGCTATTAGAGGGGATGAGGAGCTCGACACCTTGATCAAAGGGACCATCGCCGGCGGCGGCGTCATCCCCCACATTCACAAATCGCTCATCAACAAGCAGGCCAAGAAGGACTAGACAATGTATCTCGTGTTTTCCAAGCTGTAGCTAAACTCGTTTGCCTCCTTTCTTTGCCTTTGCTGTTCTACACATGATATATGACAGGGAAGGAAATTTATTCTTGTGATCTTCTCCTCTGGGAGCGACAGAAAAGTAAAACGTAGCTAGCCAGCTCGCTCAAAAAGCTCGCGTGATGTATGTGAGCAATCCAAAACCGGGGAAGCAAAAAGCGCCGCGACGATTTCAAAGAACAAAAAAAAGCCTCTCAGGGGATTTTCCGGATCTGGATCGACTGCAGCATGTCGGAGACGGCGATGACGAGGTCGCCCGAGTTCATCATGCCGCGGGCCTTGAGCAGCGAGAAGGTGCGCAAGATGTTCACCTCCATGTCCGTGGAGAGGTCGAGGCGGAAGGGGATGAGCCCCCACTGCAGGTTGAGCCTCCGCCGCACCGCCGTCGTGTCAGTGAAGGCGAAGATGGGGCAGTCGGGCCGGCACCGCGACAGCAGCGACGCCATGTGACCGTCGCGGGTGTAGACGAAGATGGCGTCCACCCCCAGATTGTTGGCTGGTACAGACACTAGACTGGTCAGCCCGTAGCTGGCACGAGAAAACAAGAATGCTTCTCACCCATGTGTGACGCCGAGTTGCAAATCTGCTCCGACACCCGCTCCGCCGACTGCCTGTCTGACGATGGCGGAGACAACTCCCGCAGCCGCATCATCTCGTGCCGCTTCTGCTCCCGGCACCACCGCTCGATCCGCAGGCTCACCGTCCGGAGCACGCTCAGGGCCTTGAGTGGGAACTGGCCCATGGCCGACTCCCCCGACAGCATCAGCGCGTCAGCTCGTTGGCGCACAGCCTCGGACACGTCCGCCACCTTTGCATGCAACAGTCGTGTCGTGAGCAGCATTTACCTTGTCGTTTGCTTACCTCGGCCCTGGTGGGTGTCGGGTACTCGATCATCGACTCGAGGAGCTGCGACGCCACAATGACGGGCTTGTTCAGCTGCCGGCACAAGGTCACTATCTCGCGCTGGACCGACGGGACCTGCTCCAGCGGTATCTGCGCTCCCAGGTCGCCACGAGCAACCATGGCTCCATCCGCCACGCGGATGATGTCCTCGAGGTTCTTGAGGGAGTCGCAGCTCTCGATCTTGGCAAACACACCGATCTGCCTGCTTGCCACAACACCACCGCGCAGGCACTCTCAGGGGCTATGCAGGTGAGGAAAGGCTATGACGCGTACCTGTTGGTCGACCTCGACGCAATGTAGCTCTTGAGGTGCTTGATCACGTCCGCGGTCTTGACGAAGGAGATTGCTATGAAATCCACGCCCTCGGAGATGCCAAAGTCGATGTCCAGCCAGTCCTGGAGCCAGAGGCGAAGCTTGGAGAGGAGTGACAAAAAACGACAAGCGGCAGACCTTGGAAGAGATGGTGGGAAGCATGGCATTGCGCTCACGAACCAGTCGGCCATTCCTCCAAAAGGTAACGTTGGCCCGAGGGAGCAGCAGTCCGGGATCGATGCAGCGGCACTTGACATCGGGTCCAATCTTGTCCACCACCTCAAATCTCACCATCCCTCCGTCCACAACCAGCTCGTCTCCAGCCATCACGTCTGTATGCATGCAGCAGCAATCGCATAAAAAACCACTCTTTTTCTCTTCCTCTTTCTTTACCTTCGGCAAATCCCTCGTAGTTCACCTGGAGAGTGCCCTCGGGAAGAGCTCCATCGAACTTCCGGACCGAGAATGTCCATTCCTCGCCATCCTGCGGCCGGCGAGCTCACACTCGGTTGATCTCGAAAAGCACGAAACAAAAAATGAGAAAGAGAAACCAACCTCGGCTTTTTGGGACGTGACTCCACCCAGATCGCCCATATGGATCTCGCTGCCTTCGGTGTCGATCATGAGCGCCACCGAGTAGCCCTTCATCTCGTTGAGCTGCCGGACGCTCTTGATGACGCCGCGGTGCCACTCCCTCGTGCCGTGGCACATGTTGAGCCGCGCCACGTTCATTCCCGCCATAGCCAGAGCTTCCAGCTGCTCAAAGCCACACGACGCCGGCCCAATCGTGCAGATGAGCTTGGTGCGTCGGGTGCTGCGGAAGCCATTCTCCTTCAATTCGGCCTCGCTCACGCTGTCCACGTCGATCCCGGGAGCAATGGAAGGAAACGAGCTCGCCAGGCCAGTCGCACGGGACGGAGCAGCAGCGCCATTGCCTCCATCGCTGCCGCTGGTGCCGCTCACGGCGGGATCTGCCAGGCCGCAATCCACTGCACCGCTCGAGATCCCATCCTTTTTGTACTTTGCAACCATAGCCAGCACGCTCCTTTGCCATGCTCTACTGCTGCTGCTGCCACTGCTGCTGGCAAACAGAGGAAAAGATCGAGGAGCCCTCAAAACCACCCGAGATGGCACTGATGGCGATGAGAATGGCCGCCACACTCCCCCACCTCCGCTTCCAGTCCCGGCACAGGCCGCCGCAGCCGCCGCCGTCGCCATGCCCACCACCGCCAACTAAGAGCGACCTCTCTTCCTCTTTTTCTCTCCTCTCTTGTTCCTCTTATTTAGATAGGTTTAAATCACTCCACCATGCAACCACGCCTCGCCCCCTCCGTCCGTTGCCCCTGGCCTCGACGACGATACAAGAATTGCCCGTCCGTCCATCCCAAGTCCAGCCATGCATCGAAAATATCTACTCACACGCAGACACGAGGTTTGCGAAGTTTTATTCCTTGGTCATCTCGGCGTCTCGTCTCGGTTAAGAATAAAGAAATAGAATCTGGATCCGCGACTACGCAAGCTAGGTGATAGTTTTGGAACACCAACATACCCAGCGGCAGTATTACTCGTTGTCGGCAAGCTTGGCGATGACCGCGTCCACCACCTTTTGCGTCGTGCTGCTCCCGCCGAGGTCCTTGGTGCGGTGCTTGCCATCCTTCACAACGCCTAGCACCGCCTGCTCCAGCCGGTCCGCAAACGAGGGGAACTGCAGGTGCCGCAGCATCATCGCCGACGAAAGTAGCAGCGCTGTGGGATTCGCCGTCTTCTGCTGCACAAGCTTCTCGTTTCCTACGTTACCGGCCGAGGCACCCTGCTCGAATATCGCGTGCTCCGCTCCAACGTTGCCTGCGAGCAAGACAATCGCTCGTCTGTCAATCAAATCTTGCAAGAGAGGAGGTGTGCGTGGTTACCTCCGGGCATCACTCCCGTGCCACCCGCAATGCCAGCCGCCGTGTTGGCCACAAGGTTGCCGTAGAGGTTGGGAGTTACCTGCACAGGTTCGTGGATGATAAAACACTGCAATGAAATGGAAGGAGCAACTGGTTACCATGACATCGAATTGCTCGGGGCGAGACACGAGCTGCATACAGCAGTTGTCGACGATGATCTCGTTGTACTTGATCCCGGGATACTTCTTGGCCACCTCGCGGCACGACTCCAGAAACAGGCCATCCGCGAGCTTCATGATGTTGGCCTTGTGCACCGCCGTCACCGTCTTTCTGTTGTTCAGGTAGGCGTACTCAAACGCGTACTTGGCAATCCGCTCGGAGCAAAACTTCGTGATCACCTGGTGCGCAAGAAGAAACGTAGCTGGAGCGGCCGAGCAAAGCAGAGGAGAAGAAATTGGAGTACCTTGAGAGACTCGACAACACCCGGGACGACCTCGTGCTCCAGGCCGGCGTACTCCCCCTCGGTGTTCTCCCGGATCACAACAATGTTGACGTTGTCATGGCGGGTCTTGAGGCCGGGGAGATTGAAGCAGTGGACGAGCGACGCAAACAAGTCGAGCTCCTTGCGCAGCTGCACATTGAGGGAGCTGACGCCTCCGCCCACGGGCGTGGCGAGCCCCCCCTTCAAGCACACCTTGTTCTTGCGGATAGAGTCCATGAGCTCGCGCGGCACCTTGTCCATCTTGCCCGTCACCTCGTACGCCTCGAAGTAGACGGGCGCGTGCAGCGCCTTCATCACCTCCACCACCGCCCCCGTGACGAGCGGGCCGATGCCATCGCCGGGGATGAGCGTCACGGCCCGCGGCGCGCCATCGCCAGGCCTGGGCATGTACGTGATATTACGACGCGAGCAGGAGGATGAAGAGGGAGATCCACAAAACCCTAATTCTCTCGCCTGGGGAGGATGGAGAGGAACCGACCCATTGGAGAGCCCCTGCTGCTGTTGCTGCCCTCCTCGCGCCCGCCGCAGCAGTGACACCACACCCCGCCGCAGCATCGCCTTTAGCCGATTGATCGATGGATCAATGGACTGGATATCTCACCCGCGCACGCACGCGCTCCCCCCTCCCGATCCGATCCACAAAGAATTAGCGGAGGCAGCAGCGGCGCCAGCGCCCTCCCGGTGGTGCCATCGCTCGCCTTTTTCTATGGGTTTGACTGGTTTTTAGGGTTAGGGCTAGAGCGGGGGATATGGCGGGTGTTGCGCTCCAAGCATCGCCTCTGACCTCACACAAGATCACGCTCACGCCCGCGCTCATCATGCTCCCCACCGGCAAGAAGAAGAGAAGGAGCAGCCACGCCAAGAAGACCGACCACGCCACTGGAAATGGAAATGCTGGCGATCGCGATGCTCCTCCGGCCGTGGACAGGCTCAGCATCGCGATCCAAGCTCACGTCAAGCTCGATCCCAGCGATCCATCCGCGAGCCCCGTCTCGGTCACCGTCTCCAAGCCCAAACCACTGCCCCACACGAACAGTATCAGTGCTGATCGAGACGAAGAGCGCAAGAACGAGACCGCGCCAAAAACAGGGCTGGATTCCAATCCCGGTTCCAAGGTGGCAGCGGCGTGGGATTCACCGGCCGTCGCGGCTGCTATGGCTCCTCCATCTTCCAATCCCTATGTCGAAGCAGCAGTGGCAGCACGGAAGAGCAAGCACAGAAGTGGTGATCAAGCTCTGCTGCTGCTCCTGCCGCCAGAGATTGTTCCGGAGCGCATCAGACAATGCTTGCTCTCGCGATCTCGCTCTCGCAAAGCTGCATCATCGCCCTCGGCCACCACCAAGTCTACTACTCCCGCAGCAGCTTCTCGACCTCGATCCACTCCCACAGCTGCTACGCCTCGCTCGTCTGTTTGCAAGCAGCACAAGAATCTCAGCGCCCTTGCTGAGTTGCAAGCAAATGATCGCGAGAGTGGCAGCAGCAGGAGTAGCAACGATACCTTGTTGGCTCCTCAGTTCTTCAGGCGCGCAAATTCATCTCCTCGCGATAACAAGACATTGAGCAAAACCAAGACGAAGAAACAATTCTGGGAGTGGGAGGACCGATCGTCGTCAGACAGCGGCGATCGCGTGAGAGCCATGGCCAAGCCGAGATCAATGCCAAGGATTCCATCTAGAAGAAAGCACGCTAGCGCTGCATGCAGCGCTGCTCCCGCGCGGCATGCCGAGGTTGATGATCATCAGGACCCCTACTACTATCACAGCATCCCCAGGCGCAGGATGAAATACCGCTCCATGATCCAGCCACTGCATTCTAAGATCCAGGAGGTGGCGTCCAGAATGTATGGCGGCGAGCTCCGGGCAAGGGATCGGGCGAGGCATCAGCGAGACCGGAGGCGATTGAATCCGTGATATCCTTGATGAGGCCAGTGATCAACAGCAGGGGCCGCGTGGTGGTGAGCTTTGGAAGGCACAAAGGCGAGGAGCTTGCGCGTCTCCCAGACAGCTACTTGCAATGGATGGCCGGCACTCTCCAGCAAGATCAGTGCTCCATCTGGGGAGCGCTCGCCCAGCAGGAGCTCGATACTCGCACCAGCAGTAGCAGCGGCAAGGAGAGAGTCTCCGACGTGGTGGACGTGTTGGAGCGATGGAGCGCGGACAAGCAGTTGGACATCAACAGCTATGGATTCCTCCTCCGCCAGGCGATGAGCATTCAAGAGGGCCGGAGGATCGTGGCGCACATCGTGAGGAGGGGTCTGGCCAAGCACACCTTTCTCAAGAACCTGGTGATGGACATGTTCAAGCGCTGCGGGGAGCCGGAGGAGGCCGTCCGTGTCTTTCTGGATCAGATGGAGAGGAGGAACCACTTCTCGTGGAACATCGTCATGTCGGCACAGCTGCAGCTGGATCACAGTGGCGAGCGAGCCAAGCGGACCTTCGACCGGATGCCAATGTGGGACGTTGTCTCGAGGAACGTGATGATCGCCGCATTTGCCCAGGGCGGTAAACCAGAGCAAGCAGCGCAGCTCTTCCAAGCTTGCGGCGATGGTGGTCGCGACCGGGTGTCTTGGAATGCAATCATCGCAGCTCACAGCCGCTGCTCTTCCACTGCCAGGCGCGCGTTGGAACTCTTTAGCCTCATGGACGCCCAAGGTGACTACCACCCGCCCGATGTCTTCACGCTCGTCAGCGCCTTCGAGGCCTCATCTTCTTCTTCTTCGTCGTCGTCGTCGTTGTTCTTGAGAGTTTTCGGAAGAGCGCTTCACCAAGAGGTGGCGGAGCTTGGGATCAGCGACGTAGCAGTCGGGAACAGCCTGGTGACCATGTATGGAGCGTGGAGGAGCAGCAGCAGCGCCAAGGCGGTGTTCGACGGCTTGAGCGGACGCGACGTCGTGTCGTGGAACGCGATGCTGGCAGCCTTGGTCAGCAGTGAGGAGATGGATCTAGCAGTGGAGGCGTGGCACAAGATGGCATGCCACAACCTCGTCTCCTGGAATGCTGTGATTGCTGTGTGCTCTCGGCGGGGGGACTTGGCTGCTGCTCTGTCCGTCTTCGAGTGGATGCCCGATCGCGACTTGGTGTCGTGGAATGCCATCCTCTCGGCCTGTGTCCAGAACGGTGAAAACGAGCAGGCTCTTGAGCTCTGGGAGCGGATGCAGCAGGACGCCGTCAAGGCCGATAAGATCACTCTCACCACGCTGCTGGATGCCTGTGCAAACCTGGGACTGGATGCGCTGGGAGCGTCACTGCTACAGTGCACCATCAAATGGAACAGCGGGGAGCCGGACGTCGTTGTGGCCAACGCGGTGCTCAACTTTCACGTCAGGTGTGGGAACGTGAGCGATGCCAAGGCGGTGTTCGAGACGATCAAGTACCGGAGAGACGTGGTGTCGTGGAGCAGCATGGTGGCAGCGGTGCATGACGACGTGGCCGAGGCTTTGGACCTCCTGCGGCTCATGCTGCTGGATGGAGTTGCTCCCAACAAGATCACCAGCCTCGGCGTCCTGTCCGTGTGCAGCCATGCCGGAGCCTTGGACGCTGGCTGCTCGTTCTTCCTGAGCTTGGAGGCCGACTACCACACCCGGCTGGCGCTGGAACACTACATTTGCATGATCGATCTCGTCGGCCGAGCAGGCAACTTTGATGGAGCGCAAGAGTTGATGCACTCGATGCCGTTCGAAGCAGACAATGTGGCATGGAGGATTTTGATGGCCGCTTATCTGCAATATTATTCTGCCTAGAAAAAGCAGCAAAACGAGCTGTTTACCTCATGACTCTATACACGCCGACCGATCGATCGACATGTTTATCTACATGAGCGAGACGTAAGTTCCACCGTGTCCCCGCTTGAGAACCAGTGGACCAGCTATGTCCGGCACCTTGTCTAGAATCCGAGCGCACATATCAAGCACGTCGGGGAAGCCCGAGGCCAGAGTTGTGAGCTGTGTTCGTAGCCTGAAGTCGCCTACGTGCTTGAGTATACTCCTGAACGACTTGGTGATCTCGTGTGGCATGCCAGAGGTGAGCCACTTCGAGAAGTCCAGGTGGTCGCCTCTGGCCAACACTTCTGACCGGTAGATTCGAGCTAGCTCCATGAGCATGGATGGACGGAGCGGCAATGACGCCACAAACTCGGTGAGGAAGTGCTCGATCCAACCTGGTGACAGCACCTGGTTCCACAGCACAGGAACCCACTCCGCGGGCTGGTTGAGGCCGTAGGCTTCTGCTACTATCAATGCTTCCTGGAACCGGCGCTGGTCTACTAGCAGACGTCGAGCATTTGTTTCCGTCAGGTTGAGCCACATGATTTCTGGCATTCTGAGCTGCAACGAGAGCAATGAGGCCTGAGCGCAGCACCACCTTGTCTTGTTTCCACAATCAATCCCCGCATACACCTCCGACGCTTCCACAAAGAACCTCATTATCTCCAGCACCTCTTCGTTCTGCTCTGGATCGTTCCTAATGGACCGAGTTAAGCCTTTCCGTCCTCTTGATTCCAAAAGATTAGCCATCTCGTGGGCCATGCTGAAATGGCTGAACACCTGCGACATACAAGAAAAACGAACGCTTAGGCAACAAAGCAGATGACGGTGCGAGAAGTTACTAACCATTCCAAACGCGTCTAAATCATGCGGGTTGAAGTGCTTCAGAGCTGAGATAACGGCCATTCGGAAGCCTCGGACAGATGCCGATGACTCCTTCAACGCATCAACAGCAGCACGTTTCTTGAGCAGCAACTCCAGTTGACCGTTTTCTATCAGCAGATCCAGGACAAAACGCAGCGCTTGGAAGTTGCTCACACCTGTTACCAACCGGGCAAGGGCTGAGAAGTCTCCTTCAGCCACATAAGCTTCCACCCTAGTGGCTGCTAGAGCAACCAGTACGTCCATTCCATCAAGACATGCAGATGACTCATAGAATTGATGCGCTAGTATAAGTAGCTCCACCTGTGTGTTGTACCGAGTCAAGGATCGCACAAGACGAAAGAAAAAGTTTGTACCTCGCAAGCGTGCGGCATATCATGCCCACTTATTACTAGTCGCATCAAAGCATGTCCAAGTTCTGGTTCAGATGGACATAGCTGACCCCATTGTACAAAATCGGATGATCGCCATAACAGTGGTGCTGGTCCCTCCTCCTTCGAGGAAGACGAGTCCATGTATCCACCGCGATGTGCAGCAAGGAGACCCTGGATATATCACAAAAGAAAAAGAAATAACGAAAGAAATGAAAGACTTAAAAAACCACACCTTGAGAAATGACTCGGCCAAAATGCGAGCAATACTGGATGCGTTGATCGAATGGGTGGCCACCAAAAGTTTAGCTTCTGAAACAGCATCTTGGCCTTTTAGAGAAAGAAGCTGAAGCAGTTCAGTCGGATGCTTTTGGAAGGCTTCAAAGAAAGGCAGGTCCAAAAAGTTGGCAATCTGAGCCACGGCAGTAACTCGTCTGCAATGGCCACGACCACAGCCTTCTCGACAAGCCGCAGTCAAAGCCTCCATAGCCTGAGCAGAACAGCCAAGTTAAAACACAAAAAGGAACGCACGAGTTCTTACCTGAAGAGGCGAAGCAGACGAGACATCTTTCAACTTCAGTTTGTTGAGCGTCTTCATGACAGGTGCACCCAAAGCTGATCCTCTTATTGATCCCTTCACAGTAGGACTCGAGAGCATGGCAACGTTGTAAGCCGTCTCAGCCCAGACAAGCTCTGCAGGTACACGACTGGGTGACAACTTTTGTTGAAGTTGTCTTGCTGCTTGCACCTGACCAACTTCAACGAGCGCGAGAATCGCCCTTTCAACTTCCCCCTCCCCAACCTTGTCTTCCCAGCCAGCAGTAGAGTCTTCGTCAGTGATCTTCAACTTGTTGTCCATATCAGGTGATGTTTGTTCCTTCTCCTGGCCACGTCTAAGAAGTCTGCGTTTTGGTTTAGACCCTCCGTTTTTACCACCAGAACCTACGGGGCTGTGAACCTGCCGAATATCGTCCATTATGTCTGCGTGCATAGAGTTGAAGACTTTGAGGTGGCCATCAACAGTTGCAATCTTAGCTGCCGTGCGATCAACAGGGCTCCCGCTGTGCATGCTGAATGGACTTTCCAGATTTAATGCTCCAAGCCTAAAAGTTGGACTGTTTGAGCTGCTGCTCTTCATCAAAACTTCAGATTCCACGGCCAAGAGCCACACTCTAGTCTCAAGTTCACGGAGCAGAGGAACCGGATAGACACTGGAAAGAAACATTAAAGTTAAACAAAGAAAATAATGTGAATATCACATACGGAGCTGATCCAGTGATCGAACCGCTAAGCCATTGAAGTGCCAGCAGCAGTACTGCATGCAACTCTGCAGGTAGGCCATGTTGCTCAATGTCCTCAGCGTGCTTCAAGAAAAACATACCAGCCTGTAAAAAAAACACAAAATGTCGGCAAGGCTATAAAACAAGCAACTAAAAACACTACCTTGAGCGGAGGGTACGAATGTTTAGTGAAAAGCGCCTGACAGTGCCGCCATAGTGCTGCTCTTTGCTCGGGTACATCCCAAAGCAACTCCTTCCATTCGGCAACCATTGCCTCTGCCTGAAAAACATATCAACACAAATTACTAACCAGAGTTGTTAAGCCGTTTACCTGCATCTCTGTTACGTGATGAACTGCACCCGAATTCCCTTGATTGCTGAGATCAAGTTGCCTCGCCCAACTACGAGCGTCTTCCCATTGACCACTCGCTTCGAGATCTTTTAAAAGAGCGTCGTCATCCAAGTCATCAACCTGCGTTCCCGACTGTCTCCCTTGACGCAATGACGGATCCGCAAGCTGGATTTTCCAGTAAAGCTTTCTGTATCCCATAGCAGCAACACCTCCATCACCAAAATCTGCTGCAGCAAGCAACTGCAACATGCAGCGCTTCTCATAGGCAGAAGGACACGCAGCCAATATCGCATTGGCCCCAGCAATAGCTGCTTTACTGATCCATGTTGTTCCACTTCTTCCACCCCTACTGTGAATTTCTTCTTTCAAAAATGCAGAAAAGTCGGCCAAATGAGCTGAAGCTTCAGACAACCTCATCTGTGAAAAGGCCTGGACACAAAATATGGTTAAAAGCTTGTACAGAAAGAAGAGTAAACTTACCCGCAGAAATCTAATGAAGTGAAGCAGAGGTGAAGACGGAAGAAATAGCTCGAATGCTTTAAGCAGAGGAATGAACAGCTGCTTTTCGCACAGAGTTGCAACCATTTTTGCCAAAGACTCTTGAGTGCCATCTGCAGCATGAAGTATCTGGGTTGGTTGCATAGGCTGGCTGGACTCGATAAAATCATCCTCGTTCTGACTTGACAAAAGACGTCGTCTTTTCGCATTGATGCGAGTGTAGACTGGCAACCGATGGTGCGTATGATATACTGCATTTGTAGCATCCACAGCATAGCCCACATTAGATGCCAAAGCAGCTCCTACACCATTGGTTTCTCTACAATGCAACTGTTAACTATCTGCAAATCCATAGCCAACTTGGCCTACCTTTCTGCTGTTACTTCCAGCCATGCAGCCACGCACGTGAGTGGAGATACGTCGTTGAAGCAAGAGGCCACTACAGCAAGTAGTGGCCAACGCATGCTTTTTGCCTTTTGAATCAAATCTGCTCCAGGAGTTTTACGACTCTCAATTTCCGCTATCAGTGAAAATAACTCGTTGTGGTCCAAAATTTCCGTGTGATCAGATTTCCCGGACATGCTATTTAAAACAGTCAAAACGTGACTTCGTAGTTGCTCATCTTTAAAATTCTTTGATGCCTGAAATACAGAATATTACGACAATGGGAAAAAAAAACAAATAAAAGAGGACTTACCACCCCAACAAGTATATCGAGCGGACAACCTTCAGACTGAGCTTCAGCTAGGAATCCAACCTGTCAAAATTTCAGATGTTACGATGCTTGAAGCAAAGGAAGTCCTACGTACCCAGTCATCATCTCCAGCCAAGTGAGTAAGGTAAACTGTACTGAGTGGCAAGTGATGAACTCGGCAGAACGCCGTTACCAAACTCCAACGTTCACTCATTGACATCTGAGACGTACGCAGTTCTTGTCCATTTCCCTCACCTGTCTTAAGCCATAGCCCGTTTGCGTCTTCTCCAGTCATACTGGCTCTTTCTAGGTGCTCTAAAATAAGTGAAGTGCAACGCTTGTCCGCTTCACCAGCTACACCTGTTTCCGTATAACTATTGGATAGCGATTCTGCAAGATAGTTTGACACATCTTCGCCAGAGGATTCACTTTCAGCGATTCGACGAAGAGCGGCTATGTCAGTGCGTAGGACGGTAGCAGACACGCCACAGAGCTCTAGCAGCAGAGAACATGCAGCGGTGACCACATCGTTTCTAAAATTACGTACACCAAGAGGCTTCACCTGCACAACACCGGTTTTACAAAAAGCGTCCAGGCGGGAGAAACTTACCAGGCAAAGCAGGTATTCCTCAACGTGAGAAAGCACACCATCATCTCCAGACCTTCCTTCATTAGCTCGTAGCGACATTAAATAACTAAACGCAGCGAGTGGACATCCTTGAAGGAGTTGAAGTTCAAGCTTAGATTCTGGGGTCTGAAAGACAAAACAACCGTCATGAGGAGGAAAACGACATAATAAGTTCAAACCTCTAACGAGTTCAAATGAATCTGCTTGTCAATCCTCTTTTTTATCGATTCCTCCCAAGACGCTGGGCTCATGAAACTTTCTCCAACACCGCCTCCCTGTTAAAACCAGGTCTTACACGGGTCGGAAACCAAAGATGGATAATCACCTACCTGAATGGATAGATACAAAACTCTTTTGAAGCTTTTTGGAAGCCATCTCGGAAGTAAAGTTAAGAGCGATGTCCCGTAGTCCGCTGAAGAAAACAGGCTCAAACGCCACTGTAGATAACTAGGCAAATCTGCTTCACCGGTGTCATCATAATGGCAAAAAAAGTACCCAACTATCTTACCGGGATCAACTTTGACCTTTTTCCCAAGGCACCAAAACTTTAAAGTGTTCCAAAGAGTCGGGAATGGTTTCAGACCTGCTTGAAGTTGCTCGAGACTACACTGCCAGCTGTTACCAGACTGCTTTTTCACCCCCGAGTATAAACATTTTTGAGGTAGAACAGGAGCATAAGCTAGAGTCGAAAGAGCCATGAGCTCACTTCCAAACGTAGCCATGTCGTCTAGTGTCAAAATCGACTGACCCGCAAAGATTGCCATAGCATTTGCAAAAGAAGCTTCATATTCGTACTTGTTGTCACGTGACAAAAGAAGCCATCTTGCCCAGTGGCAGTCTTCCTAGGAAAACCAAAATTCAAGTGACAAGAACAAAACAATCCGAAATAAATTACCGCAATCTCCAAAAATGTTTCCGCGTCTTCATCGAACCCTGACAAATGCTGATCAAGATATAACTCGAGTAACCACGGTAGACGATACTGCACACAAGACCGTACTACAAGCTGCTGGATGGCTTGTACAGTATCAACTTGTTGGACGTCTGAAGCCGAGTGAGAAAATATAAGACCGGCACGTGAAAGCAATGAAAGCAGCTCGGTTGCACCAGTCCATAGCGACCGCAAGAAAATGTGACCTCTTGCTAGATCCCGTTCAACCAGATAACGAAGCCAGTTGGAGCAAGCATCTAAGTTCGGCGCGAGCCGCTTGACCTTGGGTATTGTCACCACCACTATACCATTTCTTGAAGTTGGCACCTGAATCTCCAGCTCAGATTCTTGTAATTCCGAGGAAGGAATATCACTGATCAAGCTTGTTGAAGCGGACCACGAGTGGTGTACCACCGCATACTTCAGCTGAGAATCCCATGCAACATTTGATGCTTGAGATTGCTCCAGAATCATCTACAGGTAGCAAACATTAGTCACGAGCGAGAAGAAACTGAAACTTGAATCTAGTTACCCGATCAATAGTTAACTCATCCAACGATTGAAGCCAAACCAGCGCACCAGCCCAGTATGCTGCAGAGCGCTCTTCTTTGTTCACTTCATCCTCCACGTCTTTAGCGATAATTCTATTCCATGATCCCAATACCACACCATCAATCTCACCACAGTCAATCGAACAATCTCCAACGGGCGATGTACACCAAATCTGAAGCTTTCGATCGCTAGGCATTGAAGTACCAACGGAATCTTCATGTCGTATGTGGTAACTTTTCCAGAAGTTGTTGCTTGGGTACACACTCTTCAATAACATAAAGTCAGAAAACGAAGATGCAACAAACTTAGTTTACCTCAATTCGCGAAATAGTTTGTAAGAGGCGATACTCTTTTGGATCAAGGTGACCGTGCCTCCGCAGCTCTTTCGTAGTATGAGCTCGTAATGACCGCCGTACGGTTCCAAATGCCAGATCATGTAGCACCGTTGGTATGTCTTCTCCAAGTCTGCGCAACGCTGCCAATGCAATTGGCGTCTTTCCCTGTACCAAAAATCAGAATGCTACCACCGTAACCAAAACCGAAAGTCACCTTGCAAAGCAACTCATAGACGATTGATCTGCCGATGTCACGAACTTCCTTAAAAACGTCGGCCTCCAGTTGCCTCTTACCAGTCTCTCCACACCTCCGGTGGTGAAGTTGTACAACTGCCAAAGGTATGCGTCCTGCACGTAAAGCATCCTTCACGATACCAAGAACATCAATGTTTTCACTGTCCCAACGGGCGATCATCTCTTTCGGAGTTTCCTGCGAAGGGTGTCTTCTACTGTTTTCTTCGTCCTCAGGTGACGCTATAACAGTAGAAACCAAGCGGTCGTCATTATAGTGTGGCTCGACTGAAGGAGTTGCTTGCACCCGCCTTTCCACCTCTGGTACAGCCTCATCCTGCAAAAAGTAAAAGAAACAAAAAAATTCAAGGAAGCAGCCAATTCCAAAACTGCTTACCTTTTCAGTATTTGGCCTAGTCTTGCGTGAATGTAGATGGTCTTGCAAGGTTCTAATAGTTTCCAGAAACTGCGAAAGTTCCAGGAGAGGCTGTGACGTCTGAAGGTTGTCGTCGGGAAAACTTCGAAGTCCATAAACTTTAATCAATTCCCTGGTGAAACGTGCACCAAGGGCAAGCAACCTGAAACACAAAGTAGATGATATCCATCGATAAGTAACAAGGAACATATTTACCGCGCTGCTTGAGAAAGCTCGTTATCACTGCCGAATTGATTCAACATAAGTTCCACAGCAGTAAACATCAGACGTAGCACACCTGTTTCAGCTCCACCCACAGGAATAAGCTTATTCAACAACCTGGACAGGAGCTTGGTCTGTGTAAACTTTTGTTGAGAAATGAAATAACGAAACTTACGGTGCAATCTCATTTGTTCGCTGATAGTCTAACGCCAACTGTAACTTTCGCAGTCGTGCAAGTCTGATGTTCCAGCCTACAGTGTTAGAATTAATCTATTTCCAAGCTTCAACGAACTTCACAAAAGCTCACCATTTTCAACGAACAAGTGCTCCGCCTCATCCAATCCGTCATAAATGAGGCATCTGTCCAGTACTGCCATTTGCCACTGCTGTAGTTGCGGGACCGGAGTTTGGCATGACAAAAAGCTAGGAAGCTCTCTTGTGGACGTACACCACCACTGCTGTCTAGGTGCCTGATGACTTGAATCAATGACTGGAGGAAGAACCACGGTCAGAGAGTTTGCTGATACGAGATAAAGTGACCCTTGAAAGCTGAAGCCCACTGTTTCGTTGGAGTATGTCCAAGTCTTGGTCGCGGCATCTGTGCCTGTCGAGCAATACAACGGACTCTGCACCACTGTGGCGGAGCCATCCCTTCTGACCAACCGAGTTATCGAGCACGAACTTATTGCAATGGCAGCATCGGAACTGGAACTGGAAGAAACACAAGGCAATACAACCTTCCGGAGCTTCCTGCCTTTGTAACCGGGTGATTTTCCCGCAGCCAAAAAGTGCTTGGGAGTGAATCCACTGGGACTAAGCGTCGGCTTAGTCCCAGCCTCGCGGATCCAAACTTCGGAATCGGCAAGCTCCCAGCTTGAGCGCCAGTTACCGATACCAGGCTGAGAGAAGTGACTCTCCAGCGAGACGAGGAAAATCTGTCCGAGCTCGTCCGCAACACCTACAAGTCCCCGAGGCTTGGCAGGATATAGTCGCGAAAAGGTGGCCGTCGTCCCTGAAACATGAACAACAGATAGAAACTTTCCCGTCGAAGCTTCCCAGATAAAAATCTTGCCACTGCCTGTGAGACCCAGGAACCTGTCCAGCACCAGAGAAAAGTCCACCCAGTCTTTTCCCTGCACGTCGAGGAGAATCCGAGCGATCCAGCGTACGTCCCATTCGGATATCCTGGCGATCACTACAGCTTGATCGCCACTAGAAGCCTCTTGCAAGATCATTGCCACCAAGCTGCCGGAGAAACTTGAAACCAAGCTAACCAATCCATAGCTTCTTCCATCAAGACATGCTTGGTCGGTACCAGAGTCCTTGATGGCGAACTGAACTAACTTCGAGAAAGAAGGCGAGTCTCTCGCGATGCTCAATGGTACGAAATCCGGCCATGCCTCGGCTTCCAAAAAGACGAGCTTCGGTTTGTCGACGTCGTGATATCCCAGCTCAACCTCGTAGATAGAGCTAGAGCTGCTAGAATCTAGGCCATGCTCGCTAACCTTGCTTGCGAACCCGTAGATCATAAGACCTCTATCGCTGCAAGTGAAGAGCAGCTCCTCAAATGGCCCCGACGATCCCCCATTGCTCGTGTAACAATCTGTCTGGCATCCCCACGCGAATGATCCCATCGGCTGTGGCAAACTTACCGAGAGATTTTTCTTCAATGTGAGCAAGCGCGCTGATCCCAACGTCCTCGACACAAGCAGCAATCGCCGGAGCGATGGCGATAGAGCTGCATCGGTCAGCTGCTGGACTTCGCAGAGCGGGACCTCCGGCCAGCTGTGGAGCTGCATTACGGCAATCGGATCGTCGTCCTCGTCCTCCATGATTGCCTCGCCCTTTCAAGAACCCTATTTCACCAAGCAAGGGTTTTTAGGGCTATGGGGGTCTCCTGAGCGGGAGAGCTTGGATGGAGGATCTGTGGAAGCACCACAGTCGACCGCAGCAATCGTTTGGCGGAGCTCAGGTAAGCCTACATTCATCTCCCCTTGGCCCCGGGAGCCTCACATTGTGATCCTCGCTGCGCTGCAATTCCAGGTCAATGCGGCCAATGCGGCTGGCACCGTGAGCCAGCTGAATCATCCGCCTCACCATCACCATCATCCCTTCGTCGCGCAGGAGGTGTGCGTGACAATCCGGCAGGAGACACTGGGCGCCAATCATCTCATCAACTTCGGCGGCCTGGAAGGAGGCCTTAAGCAGCAGCAGTCGATTCGTAGCAGCGATCAAGGCAGCAATCAGCTGCTAGCTCTCGTCCAGCAGCAGCAACAGCACCATCAGCAGCACTCTCTCCATCACTCGGCCGGAGGGATCGTCACTTCTCATCATCCACACTTGCAACATCATCTAGTTTCCTCCACTGCGAGTGCCAATGCTGCCGTGCCTTGGTCTGGCGTCCAGGAGCTCCATCCCGCTACTACCAATCGTGCCCTTCTCACCGACGTTGCTACCACTGCTTCTCTGGACCGGGACTTGGGCTTGCTCAAGAACAGATCAAGGACCAAGAAATCCGACGTCGACTTCTTCAAGGACAGCTCTTTGTCTCGATCAACCTATGACGCCCAGACTAGCTGCTCTACAGACTTTCGAAACCAGCAGCAGCTCCACGGACAGGCGCTGCTACCTCCACAGAGAAAATCTATCAACAGCGCGAACTCTACTTCGCATGCCTTCCCGGCGGGTCTGCGAGTATACACTCCCGGCGCTCAAGGATTGATCGCCAGTAAGTTTTCTCTTCCTCTCTATACCTTGCGTCTTGGATCATCTCTTTGACGTCATCTTGCTCGGGCTTTTCCCGACAACAGATGGAGAGCTGCTTCTCACTGATAGGGGTCGGCTGGAGGTGGTGTGTTTGTGTCACGGCTGCGCGATGACAGTTGCCAAGTTTGTCCAGGCAAGTGCCGGTAGAGATTTAGACGATCTGTGCGTTCTTTTTTTATTCTCTCTCACTCTCTTACTTTCTTTTCATTGCATCAGCATGCTGGTTCTCATTCTGTCAATCCCGGCAATGCTGTCTACTTGGAAACGGGGGAGACACTAGTCCAGTGGCGCAGAAAAGTCTTTACACGAGTCGGGGTTCGTGTTATCATCTTTTCCCGTCTTTTCTAGCTAACGTATGCGCACAGGTTCCTGTGCCGGATGATGAAGCTGGATGGGACTCTGGTGATGGAAGTGAAACGAGTAGAAACGTACACACTCCTAAATTGCCTGAAACTTTTACCAGTTGCCAGCCCGTTCAGATGACAAACCTCCCTGCGAGTCTGAACTATGGGAATTACCAGGACGCTGTTTTCCAAGGCTGCAACAGAAGCTCGAAAGGCGCTGAGCTTCTTTCACCGCAGTTTCAACGGATTGTGGGTGCCGTCAAGCCAATGCATTTCGACTTCATCAATGGTGGTCGAGCCTATTCGTCCGCTGAACAACAGCTTGGTTTGCGGGAAAGGATCTTGCATTCTGATCAAGCAAGGAAACCTTGGGACGAGAACGTCAGACAGGACAAGGACAGTTTTGCGTCGAGCTTTGAGTTGAGGCTGGGGCAGCCGTCACAGCAAGCACAGAAAGCAGGAGCATCATTCGGCACAGCCTTCCGGTCACAGATGCAGACTACAGAGATGGATCAGCCAACCTCACTCGTTTATGAAAGAGCGTATCAAAAGAGTACGTAATTCCGCTTGACCATTCGGCTGACAAGGTTTCTGTATATGTTTGTGCAGTTGATGCCAGCCTTCACCCGGGATCAGTACATGGCTATGGTTTCCAGCCACAGCAAGATGTTCAGCAGTTTACCCAACAACAACGACTGGAGAAAATCAACGTTGTGAACTTCGGTCACTATGGCCCGGCCGCATTGGAAAGAACAGTACTCAGTGAGAGGACAAAGTTCTGGACGGAGCCACCAAATCAGAATGGGAACAGAGTTTCGTCAGAGCATGGGGACTCTTTCTACCAGTTAAAACCTCACGTGCCAGAAAACTCGCTTGAACTGCTATCACAGTCACAGATGAAGCAGAGAATGGTGAGTCATCGGCTGCTTAACGACGTTGTTGGATTTACTCAGATGGATAGTCAGCAATACGTCTCACAAGAATGCTCTCAAGTGGGATGGTCCAACAATGGGACTCGGTATTTGCAAAGTAAAGAGAAGGAGGTGGTACACTGCTTTGGGGGTGATGGGACCCGGGCTGCACCCGCACCCCAGGAAACTTTGGCGTGCCGAATGAGCAGTAGTAGCTGTATACAGCAACAGGGTATGGAACACAAAGCAACAGGATCTGTGCTCGATGGACAGGAAGCTCTTCAGATCGGCGAGCAATTTAGAACCAAAGCACGTTTATGTGACATCGGGAGAGCTGAAACAGAACCAGCGAATCCTTCGATTGCCACTCCAGGTATAATCTACGCTGAGGATTACGTTTCTAAGTTGTATTCTTCACTTCAGGAAAAAGTGCTTTGGATCACAAGGCGACAGTGGAGCATCCATACATTGTCGACGAAGCAAACAGGTCGGTTAAGTCTGCATATGCTTAAACTATATCAGCTCTTTCTGCAGAAACTCTACCGCGCTCTTAGTACCAGGTGAAAGAAATAGTCATGCCACCAGCTCGCAAAATCTGACAAGGGATAGTCTTCTAGAGGGGAAACCAGGCCAGCACCACGAAGATACATCGTCAATTATACCGGCAAATTCTGGGCTACTAGTATCGGTTGGTGAAAATGAGTTGCCTACAGGCGCAGTTCATTCGGAAAAAAACGTGCCGCTTGAAAATGGTTCCTTTGCGTGGAACGCCCCTGCAAAGCCGTGTGATGGCTTAGAAGTCCCCAGTGAAACCACGGGTGAAGGCATTCTAGCTGGCAAGACCACCTCACTCGAGGACGAGGATGAAACTAGCGAGGTTTCAACTAAAAGCTCGGAGAACGTTGCGAGTTTTTCAGATGCACACGACGACGTGAATGATGAAGCCTCGACACTGGAGTCGGAGAGCCGAGAGCATGACTTAATTGATGAAGGCTCGGGTATTGGAAAATCCAGCTCCGAAAAGTTTGAAGCTGGAGATACTCGGGAGTTATCACTCTCACCAAGCGACCGCTCTTCCAGCGAGGCTAATGAGTCCGTCATGATAGAAGGGTTGCAAGAAGTGCAACATGAAGACAAGGTTGAAAGAAGAGGCCGGAAAAAGGTGGCGAGCCTCAACGACACAATCATGGCTAGGAATTCCAAGGGTAATGATTCAGGCGTTTCCGAGCTCCCTGCTTCGAACCGACGGCAGCAAAGGGATGATGAGGAACAAAACACCGCTCTATGTAAGCTTACACCGAAGCAAAAGCGATCGAGAACAACTGTGAGGAAGACCCGTTCTGCATCTCTCCTTCTCAAGGACTCGCACGGCGACATAGCCGGGGGGAAGCAGAAAAACACTCTCTTGAAAATCAAAGTTAAGAGTCGAGACCCACCAGCCGGCACAGACGAACAGGATTCCGACAGTAGCGATCAAAGAAAACACAACCGGACGGGGAACGGTGGAAACGGGAAGATGATGTCAATGAAGTCGATAATGAAGCACGCAACTGAACGGAGAATCAGTCTGGAAGGATTTCCCCGTTTTTCAAAGAATGCTGAAGGACAGGGGTGTAAGGAAGATGGTGGTGCTCTACGCAAAGAGATCCGCAAGCGTAAGCTGTCTGAGCTCAATTCGTCAATACCTGACCCTTCTGCAAACGTAACTTGTCGGCCTTTCAGAGTGGGACAAAGTATCATTCCTCGTGGTGAAAGGTCTCCAAGAGGAGCTACCAGGAAAACGAAGTCTCTAGCAACTGAAGATGATTCCCAAAGACAGACATCGTCGGTTGCGAAAAAGAAACTGGAGTCAGGGCAGACAGGGAAGAGCTCATTAGCAGAAACCGAAGGCGTAAAGCGAAGGAGGACTACGAATCACCAACAAACAACCTCTACTTTCAGGTTTGGAGTTTCAAAGTTGCGGGATGGACTAAAATTGTTTTTGCCATGCAGCGGCAGTCGTGAACCTGGAACAACGCAGACAGTAAAACTGAAGTGTGTAGAAGATGAGTTGGAGCTGAAGAAGCATTGCAAGAAGGCTCAACCTGTCAAGGAAAACGCTTGCTCCGTTTGTGGGAGTTCAAAGTCCGAATCACACAATCAGCTCATCTACTGTAGCGCGTGTCCAGTGAAGGTAACGAAATTTGTTGTTAAACGATTTACGAATTTTGCGCTCAAAGCAGGTCCATCAAGCTTGCTACGGAGTTCCTAAGGTTCCAAAGTCCTCGTGGACGTGCCGTCCATGCAAGTCCGAAGTCGAGAACATCGTAAGTAGTTTAACTTGTTAGCCAGTTGCTGATGGACGAGTGGTTTCATTCCAGGTGTGTGTCCTCTGTGGATATCGCGGCGGGGCGATGACTCGAGCTCAAAACGCGCAGACCGTCGTGAAGGGACTACTTAAGGCATGGAAGGCCGGAAGCGGTGAACGGCCCAAGCCCGGGCTTAAGCAGGTACGCCGATCGGAGAGAAACAGCGCCAGGGAAATCGAAGAAGTCAGCAACACCATCACGGCTTCCGTGAGTGATCCGAGCGTCGCACAATGGGTTCATATGGTGTGCGCCCTGTGGATGCCCGGGACGAGGTGCCTCAACCTTGGAACGATGGGGATGTTCGACGTATCTGGAGTTTCGGTTTCCAGGAGACGACTGGTACGTAGAGAAAAAACTTTGGTCTTATGGTCTTATGTTTTTCTCTGTTCGGGGTTCTTGTTTAGACTTGCACCATATGCAAACGAGAAGGTGGCTCCTGTATTCAGTGTCACGAGGCGAAGTGTGCTGTTCCTTTTCATGCCTGGTGTGCTCATTCCAAGGTTAGGACATTGTTTGCTTCTTTCTTTTTTTTTTCGCAAAGTGATGATCCTCCATTACAGGGCTTGCTCCAGATCGAAACTGTGAACGACACGGATGGCCACGTTCGTTTCCATGGAAAATGTATAAACCATGCAGAAGCGAGCGTCTTAGAGTCGAGACGCAATAGCAAGTGTGCGCGAGCAGAGGTAAGACTGTCCCAGAACCAAAGTTTTTTCTTTTCTTTAAAGCCTTCGTCACAGGAATACAATGGCAAACCCAGTTTCGACGATTTGAGAAAGCCGACCAGAAAGGACTCGCAAAAGACTTGAGAGATTATTTCCAGCTCGCTTACTAGACTGTATATTTTAAATCGTCTTGCTCTCGCCAGCAAGACGTGTTGGCTGTCTGGGGAAACTGAATAGATATTTTTACTTAGTGAACAAACGGTGCGAAGACGACCACCGAATTGTGGCCTCCAAAGCCAAACGAGTTCGAAATAGCTGTTGTGTGGAGTCGTGTTAGTACTGCCTTGCTTCCAACGACGTAGTTTTACTTACCAACATTGATCTCGTGCTGTTTCTTCACGTTTGGAACCGTATCAAAACATGTTACTAGCGGGTCAACATTCTGCCGAAAGGATTGTGAGTGATCGTGAACAAGCAAGCTATTCCGACTCACAAATTGGTTGATAGTTGGATGAACCCATCCAGTCTTTATAGCCTTGATGGTGGCAATGGCTTCCAGGCCACCACAGGCTCCAAGAGAATGTCCAATCATCGACTAGAAAAACTCAAGTTACAATAGCAGCATTGCAGCAATCAGACGTACCTTGGTAGCGTTCATCTTCATCTCCGACGTATCCTTGAATACTTTTTTAATGGCATTCACCTCAGCCATGTCGCCAACTGGAGTGGATGTAGCGTGAGCGTTTATAAAATTCACCTGAAGACCTTGGTGAGAATGATCGAGACGAGCGCAAAGAGATAATACCTCTTCTGGATGTACACCCGCGTCATCTAGTGCACGCGTAATGCACGTTGAAACTCCCAATCCATCGGCTCGAGGGTCAGTCATGTGGTAAGCATCACAAGTGACAGCGCCACCCAAGTACTCCGCAAGAATGGGCGCGTTTCGCCTCATGGCGTGATCCAAACTCTCCATCACCTGGTACAAAGTTGGAAAGTTGGAAAACCACGCCAGGAAAAAACAAAAGATGGGAGATCATACTACGTAAGAAAGATGGAAGATCATACCAGAATTCCGGCGCCTTCTCCAATGACAAATCCATCTCGATCTCTGTCCCATGGCCGAGAAGCTGTCTGGGGATCGCTGTTCCTCTGCGACAGAGCCCGGCAAGCAACGAATCCGCCAAGCCCGACTGGGATGATCGGGGCCTCGGTGCCACCGGTAAGCATAACGTCGGCCTCCCCGCGACGAATGTGATTGGCCGCAGCGCAGAAGCAGTAGTTGGAAGTGGCACAGGCTGTGGAGATGGAGTAATTCGGCCCCATGAATCCCAGCTCGATGGCGATGAGCGCCGAGCCCATGTTGGTGATGGTGTAGGGAATGAAAAAAGGAGTGATGCGGCGGTGGCCTTTGTCACCGAGCGCCTGGACAGCATCCGAGAACACCGACAGACCTCCCATTCCCGATCCCACCACGACGCCAACACGCTCCTTGTCGATCTAGACAGACAATGCAGCGATCATATCATCGAAATATTTGAGGAGCTCGAGAGATTTTACCTTGCTTGTATCCAGCTCCGCGTTCTCTAGCGCCTTCTTCCCACTCACCAGGCAGTAGCGCAGGCAATCGTCGAGGCGCCGGTCGTTCTTGCCATCGATGTAGCCCTGGGACGAGAAGTTGCGGATCTGGCCGCCGAATCGCGTCGGGAACTTGGACGCGTCGAAGCGGTCGATGAGCGTGATCCCGCTCTCGCCCTGGAGGAGCTTGTCGTAGAAGGAATCCACATCGTTGCCGAAGACGGACACCAATCCCATGCCGGTGATCACCACGCGCTTCTTGGGATCTCTCTCGCGCTCCACCGGATGATGATCGTCCTTGGATCTGGAGAGCAGCAGTGACGAGAAGGAGCTGCAAGACATGGCGATATTACCATGCTTTCTCGCGATGGCGCCGAGAGGAATGCGTCCATTGCTCTTCTTCTTGTGCCAAATCCCTGCTTCCCACGACGATGGTGCTGCCATGGCCATTTTCTTATAACACCCGGTCGTGGTTCGATACCCAGAAAGTTTAGGTTAAATAGAATCGAGCTCCCCGGATTCGAACCCCCGACGAGGGGAGCTTGCGAAGAGAGTGAGGGCTTTGGTTTTTGAGGGAAGCGCAAGATGAGCGTCATCGACATTCTCACGCGCGTCGATGCGCTGTGCCAGAAGTACGAGAAGTATGACCTGGATCGGCAGCGGGACGCGCAGATCTCCTCCACCGATGGCTTCCTCAAGCTCTACACGGTGCTCAACGCGGATGTGGAGACCACGCTCCAGGTAACACCAAAATTTCCACCGCCGAGCGCCCAGTGAGGCGATTATCCCTGTCCAGAAAGCGAACGAGGCCGCCACGGAGAAGAATCGAGCTACTGTAGCCGCATTGAATGCCGAAGTCCGCCGATCCAAGGCCGCGCTAAGGAATGAGATCCCAAAGCTGGAGAAGCTCGCTCCTAGAAAGGTAAGCTAGCATAGTTTGTGTATGCCCGCGGTGGTATCATAATCAAGGAAATTTTGGTTTGTTTGTCCAGGTGAAGGGACTTTCCAGGGAAGAAATGGAAGCTCGTCCAGACCTCGTTCTTGCGCTTGCTGAGAAGATTGAATCGATTCCAGAGGGAACAAACTTGGGGAACAAACGAAGCAGCTGGGGCAACAGCAAAAGCGCGTCCAACAACAAAATGGAGATCAAGATCGACTCGGTTAGTCCCGGTATGTTTCTAGAAAAAGCTTCTATCATTTCTTCGGAGGTTATAGTTCTTTCATGCAACCTCTAGAGGACGTGATGCGTCCCGAGCAGTACGAGCACTCCGAAGAATCGAAGGGGTTCCGACAGGATTACGAGACTCGGAAAGCTAGACAGGTAAAGCTGACTTGCACTTTGCTTTTATTCTTTTCTATTGTCTAACGGTGAAGTTGTGTTTTTGTTCTTTGGTAGGATCAAGGCCTGGATACAATAGCCGAAGGTCTCTCCACTTTGCGAAACATGGCTCAAGATATCAACGAAGTAAGATCTATTCTATGCCTTCTTTCAAGTGCCGATTTAAATCCGTGACTATTTCTACAGGAAATGGACAGGCAGGTCCCTCTGATCGATGAGATTGACAGCAAGGTGCGGCATTCATTGTTTGTTGATCTGGAAGAAAGCTGAATGTTGAGTGTTGCCGCAGGTGGATTACGCCAACGCTGAGCTTAGAACCACGAACGTGAGATTGAAAGATACTGTGAACAAGGTACCTCTTGCTTACTTTCTCGAAATTGTGGCTTCTGACCGGGACTTTGTTCGCTGTAGATGCGATCTAGCAGGAATTTCTGCATCGATATCATTCTTTTGTGCATCGTTTTAGGAATCGCTGGATACTTGTATAAGTAAGTCCAAGATTTCCTTCCCTTTGCACCGTCTCATTCATGCTCTCTGCTCGCTTGATTGGCAGTGTTTTGAAGAAATGACTAACGAGGCAGGCGAGGTTGGGTTGGCGTTTGATTTGTTGATAGTGAAAGAAGAAGTAAACGTTTGTTGGTTAAATGAGTTCACAGGATATTCTCTTTTGATGCGTTAGGGCTCTTGAGCTCTCGGGCTAGGGTTTTAGCTCAGCGGCAATGTTCTTGTACAGCCTGACGCTGCAGCGCGCCACTGGGATCGTGTGCGCCTGCTACGGCAACTTCATCGGCGGCAAGAGCCAGGAGATCGTTATCGGCCGCGGTAAGATCCTAGAGCTCCTGCGCCCCGACGACAATGGCAAGCTCCAGACGCTGCTCGCGGTGGAAATATTTGGCGTCGTTCGCTCGCTCGCGCAGTTCCGCCTCACCGGATCCCACAAGGATTACCTCGTCGTCGGCTCCGACTCGGGCAAGATCGTCATCCTCGAGTACAATCGCGACAGGAACGCCTTCGATCCCGTCCACAAGGAGACGTTTGGGAAATCTGGGTGCCGCCGCATCGTGCCCGGCCAGTTCTTGTCCGTGGATCCAAAGGGCCGGGCGGTGATGATCGCCGCCACCGAGAAGCAGAAGCTCGTCTACGTGCTCAACCGGGACAACGCGGCCAGGCTCACCATTTCCTCTCCTTTGGAGGCTCACAAGTCCCACACCGTCGTCTACTCCCTCGTCGGGGTGGACTGTGGCTTTGAGAACCCGATGTTCGCCGCCATCGAGCTCGACTACTCGGACGCCGACCAGGACGCCACGGGCCAGGCGGCGCTCGAGGCACAGAAGCACCTCACTTTCTACGAGCTGGACCTGGGACTGAATCACGTCGTTCGCAAGTGGAGCGAGCCCATAGACAATGGTGCCAACATGCTCGTCACCGTTCCCGGCGGTGCCGATGGACCCAGTGGAGTCTTGGTCTGCGCGGATAACTTCGTCATCTACAAGAACCAGTCCCAAGAGCTGAGAGCTCTGATCCCCAGGCGAGCCGACTTGCCGGCGGACAGGGGTGTGCTCGTCGTTTCGGCCTCGACGCACAGGCAAAAGAGCGTCTTTTTCTTTCTCCTCCAGACCGAGTATGGGGATGTTTTTAAGGTGACGCTGAGCTTCAACGATACGGATATGGTGGTGACAGAGCTCAAGATCAAGTACTTCGACACCTTTCCCGTCACCTCGGCAATGTGCGTTCTCAAGAGCGGCTTCCTCTTTGCTGCTTCCGAGTTTGGAAACCATGCGCTCTATCAGTTCCAGGGTATTGGCGACGACCCGGACGTAGAATCCTCTTCTGCAACTCTAGAGGAGACCGAAGATGGTTTTAAGCCCATCTTTTTCCAGCCCCGCAAACTCAAGAACTTGATCCAGATAGACGAGGGGGAGAGCCTCATGCCAATTATGGACATGAAGATTGCCAACTTGTTCGAAGAGGAAACACCCCAGATTTTCGTGGCTTGCGGGAGAGGTCCTCGTTCGACGCTGCGGATACTCAGGCCGGGTCTTGCAGTGTCCGAGATGGCAGTGTCACAGCTGCCGGGAGTACCGAGTGCTGTGTGGACGGTGAAGAAGAGTGTCACCGACGAGTTCGATGCCTACATCGTGGTGTCCTTTCTGAACGCTACGCTGGTGCTGTCCATCGGCGAAACAGTGGAGGAAGTCAGTGACAGCGGATTTCTGGACACGACACCTTCTCTTCAAGTTTCTCTGCTCGGGGACGACTCGCTAATGCAGGTGTATCCCAATGGGATCCGACACATTCGGTCATTAGTGCGCATAAACGAGTGGAAAACTCCCGGCAAGAAG